TGTGTTTGTTTTGTTTTACCTTTTCTCATCCTTTTTTCCATAGCAATTTCAATATAAAGGAGGGTGTTCAAGGGTTTGAAATCTAAAGAAATCCATGCAAGTTCGTGCTTTCATGATTGTACTGTCTAACTGATCAATTGACCATTTCTGTCAAATGGATTGAGGATTCAACAGTCCGACAAGTCGGCTTCAATGGAAAGAAAAGAGACATAGTGGTAGTGACCTCGGCATTGTTAATTGGATTTCTTCTACTGGGAATAAGCTTAATCATGTATCTCCGAAAAATGAAAAGGAAGAAGTCACAGCTGAATAGAGAAGGTATATATCCATATGTGTCATTCTGTGTTAAACTATGTACTGGTATGTTACATTTTTGGAAATACTTGTCATATTGATATCCATTTTGTCCCGGCTTTACAGGAATTCGGATGCACAACTCTGAACAAGGTTACACCGACAAAAGCCAAAAGGAAGATCTAGAGTTACCATTGTTCAACTTAGCTGTAATAGCTAATTCCACAAATAACTTTTCAATCAACAATAAGATTGGAGAGGGTGGATTCGGAGCTGTTTACAAGGTAACAATGTAAAGACACTCTTATGTAGTCTATAGGAATGTGATCAATACCCAATCTCATGGAGCCTATGCAGAAGCCATAAAACCATTCAGCTTTTTTATCACTGCTTTTCCATAATAATAATATTATTAAAAAAAATCACCCCCCCTCCAAAAAAAAAAAAAAAAAATCACAAAAAAGTACATAGAATGTAAAATTTCTTGGTAAGTTAATGCACTTACTGTTCTGTAAAACCTTTTAATACAGAACCACCATTCTGAGTGTAAATTTTTTATAAATACACCTGTTTTTGAAAAGAGGAATTTTATATTTTTCTTTCAGTTTTCAAAGAAGACAATTGGTATGATGCTACTTTTCTCACATATAAAACATCATAAATCTCTGTAATTAAATCACTGGTCATGGTTGCACCTATTGGAACAATGTCAGCCAGAGCAACATAAAAATAAGAATCAATAAAAATGAGTGTTTTCTTTTAAGTTAATTCTAATAGAAGAGCATTCTATCAATTATAATGGTAATTCTCAGGGTATACTGGAAGGAGGACAAGAAATAGCCGTGAAGCGGTTATCAAAGAATTCTAGCCAAGGACTTGATGAGTTCAAGAATGAAGTTATCTGTATTAACAAACTGCAACACCGAAATCTCGTGAAGCTTCTAGGATGCTGCATTCAAGGAGAAGAAACAATGTTGATATATGAATACATGCCCAACAAAAGCCTGGACTATTTTATATTTGGTTTGCCCTCTTCAAAACTATAATACACCACAACGATTACACTCTCAAACCAACTAATAGTCTTTCTTTTTCCTTTTTTTTTTATATTCTTTTTGGTTCCATATAATCCTTTTGATATATTTGATAATGGAAACAAAACTTTATGTGGTTTTTATTACATGTGCATTTGCATGAACTTGGTTTTTCGAAATTTAGAATTTTTCATTGTAAAAGCTTGTTAAATTCGTGCATCCGGTTAGCGAGATTGTGGACTAAATCTAACAAAAATTTGGACAGATCAAACAGGAAGCACATTGTTGGATTGGCCGAAGCGCTTCCACATTATTAGTGGGATTGCACGGGGGCTTCTTTATCTTCATCAAGATTCCAGATTGAGAATTATTCATAGAGATCTTAAAGCTAGCAATATTTTGCTAGATATTGACATGAATCCAAAAATATCAGATTTTGGAATAGCTAGAAGTTTTGGAGGAAATGAGACAGAAGCAAATACAAATACAGTGGTTGGAACATAGTAAGATTCTCCATAACATGTTTAATCTATTTCACTTATATTATTGTTTCAAAATCTGGTTCTTTACTCTTCTTTGTTGTAGCGGCTATATTTCTCCAGAGTATGCAACAGATGGGCTATTTTCAGTAAAATCGGATGTATTCAGCTTTGGCGTTTTGGTGCTAGAGATTGTGAGTAGCAAGAAAAACAAAGGTTTCTATCATTCAAGTCACCGCTTCAACCTCCTTGGCCATGTAAGTGTTCTAAGATTAGAGGTAATTAATATTATATGCATGTGTTCCTATAAGGGTCAAGGATCCTTTATCCCTAAATTCTCTCTATCTAAAAAGAACAACACCTAATTAGTACACATTAATATGTATCTGGGAGGGGAAAGATTGGGTATACATCTAACCTTTGACATAGTGCTCAGAGTGATTGTCCCATGACTTGAACCTATAACCTCTAGGTTATTAGACCAATATTTTACCATTGAACCAATAGTCACCCCTCCTTAAATTCTCTCTATCTATTGTTCCAAAACACGCACAATCGTTGGATCACATGAGAATCTTAAGGTGCAAGTATCTTGGGGCATAATCTAACTATTGTAACTGTTTTGAGAATTGAGAATAGAGAAATTTGGAGATAGAGGATCTATGTCTAATATTGTAGTGGATTGTTCAGGCATGGAATCTCTATAAAGAGGGCAAGTCGTTGCAATTGATTGATGATGTTGTATGGGAGTCATGCTACCTAATTGAAGTGTTGCGATCAATCCATGTGGGTCTTTTGTGTGTGCAAGAAAGTCCAGAGGATAGGCCTAGCATGTCATCTGTGGTTGTGATGTTGAGCAGTGAAGGTGCATTGCCTCAAGCCAAACAACCTGGCTTCTTCACTGAAAGGAATGTTCTCAAGACTGGTTTCCAAGAAGCAACAACCACGGCCAATGAAATCACTGTTACTATGTTTAATGGTCGATAGAAATTATACCATATACAAGGTGAATGCTTAATCATTGTTTCTAGTTACAAGTGTATTTTATACATAATGACATGATGGGACGTGCCAATGGTATCTCTATTCACTAGTATTCTCATTATTATCGTTAAAAATGAACTCCACCGAAATAACATGTACTTTTTTCAATATATAAATTTGCCCCATCAATCAGTATAATTTTTCTTTATAATTTTTATGTTTGCATATCATTATTTCTTTGTGTTCTGTAAAAAAATAAAATTAAATTTAAAAAAAAAAACAAGTTTAGATACTTTCATCCATGTTCTTTAATTATTCCATTATTTTTGTAAACTCTGGGGCAGTGCTTACTTTAGATGCCGCCCATTACGTGTCTTTCAAAGCTTTTTCCTTTGAATTGCTCTCTAAAGTTTGTATACAAATGATGCCAAGCACAAAACCTATGTTCAACATTTGGCACTACTTGTAATGCAAAGGTACCAGGCCCTTCTGCTTGTCTGTAATGTAAGTCCAAGCACTTTGGTTGACTTTCAATGAGTTATTATGTGTAAACATTCTGTGAAGAATTTTTTTTTTTTTTTTGATCAGCAAAGAAAAGGGAGACTTTATTGATGGGATGAGAAAAACAAGAACAAAATACATCAATAGAGGAGGGAAGTGTAAAGAACATCATAGCTAACACTCCACAATCTCAACTAGGTTGGCACAAACGAGGAAGCACAATCATCTGCTAGCACTAAACCCACAAATTGGCAAGAAACCAATCCAAAAAGAAGAAATAAACCAAACATAGAAATAAAACCAACCAACCATACAGCGAAAGCAACCTTGACTCCTTCCCCAACAAACTGCTCTAGCAACTTATAGCTAATAAACCAGCGAATTCCTGCAGAAATAATCCAGATGAATTGCCAACTGCCCCCTCTATTAGATGAGCAACACAAAAAAAAACCCCTCCATGTCCTTCCAGCCAAAACACCAGCAGCTGTCCAAAATTACACTAGCGACAAAAAACATCATAGCTTACACTAGCAACATCATAGTACCAACATCTCAGCATCACAACAATATCATAGTAGCATCTCAGCATCACAGTACCAACATCACAACAGCGACTCAGCAATAACACAGTACCAACAAAAAACTCTACAAGACACCAAATAACCTTAGTACCCACCAGCAAAACCACATCAACCTTATGCGCATACCTGTTGCCAATGAGATGTTTCTAAGCCAATTAAACCAACTCCAGCAGCAGCAATACACAGAGAACCCAACTAACTACAACAGTTTTTTGATCAGCAAACATCTGCACAACTGGAACCTCACTACAACCTGATCTGGTGGAGATTGGATACGGTGTCTTGAACTGAATAATCCACCTTCAAGTGCCATTTGGTCCATAAAGCAATCTGCACCTTAACTTTTTCACAAAATTGTTGGAGGTCAGGATGAGCACTCGTAAACAAACATTCGTTCCTCAATTTCTAGACTGACCATAAGACAACAGAGGGAATAATCTGCCAGACTTTGAGTACCCAACACTTGAATTTGAACTTGCCACCATTCCACCAATGCAGCAAGCCTTCCACAGAACCTGGAATAGACCAAACCTGATCCCACCAATCTACTATGTCAGACCAGCACTCCATACCAGAGGACAAATCAGAAGCACATGAGCAGCAGTTTCTACCTCAGCTTAGCAGAAAACACATAAATTATTAGCACTCACATCAAGACCCCAATTCTTTGAAGGAAGGTTGAGGTTTTAACCCTACCTCGCCAAGCCAACCAACAAAAAAAATTACATTTTTGGAGGGACAAAACTCACTCATACCCCTATTGGGATTGTCAAACCAGGCCCACTAGCTACAGCCCACCACCTCCACACAGAAGCTACTGTGAACTACCCTGATCTCTCTGCTAACAAAGAGCAAGAGTCCTCAACACCAAATCTGAGACAAAGAGATAAGTCCAACATGCCTAACAACCTCTGCAAATCCTCTTCTTCCCAAGCTAATAGATTTCTTCTAAATTGAAGCTGCCATCCTTCTGAGGCACCAATCTTTACTCTGATCTACTACAGAGAATCCTCATTCTCTGTGGATAAACTTAACAATCTAGGAAATTCAGCCTTCAAACCTCTGTTATTGAGCTAGGAATCATACCAGAACTTTATTCTCCTTCCATTGCCAACTATGATTTTGACTTAGTCTCCAAAAAATTCACCCAGTTGTTGATTAGCCACAAATAGCTGCGAAATATCCTTCCAAACTATTGAGACCCCTACTGACTGATTCATTGTAGGTGTCCATCCCCCACTAATTCTGCCATACCTAGAATAGATCACAGATTTCCATAGAGCTTTATCATCACTGCCATACCTCCACCACCACATCAACAGCAAGCATTCATTTGCCTCACCTAGGTCCCTCACTCCCAAACCTCCTTGATTCTTGCTATTTGTGACCTCCTTCCATTTGACCATGTGCACTTTCGTGTTGGTAGCAGAACCTTCCCACAACAAATTGGCCTGAAGTTTTGATATAGACTTGACAACCCCCTTTGGCATTTTTAAGATGGAAAGAAAATAGATTGGCAAATTGGACAGGGCTGATTTAATCAAAGTCAATTTACCAGCAAAAGACAACAATTTCCTCTTCCAAGAAGAGAGCTTCTTCTGAAACTTATCCACTACTGGAGACCATGTGCTTTTTCTTCTGGGATTGGCCCCTAAAAGCAAGCCTAAAAAATTAAAAGGCAATTTCTTAGGTAGACAATTCAACACCTTAGCAAATTCCTTAGTTTGGTCTTCTTGATAGCCCACCCCGCATACCACACTTTTGTGAAAATTTATCATTAAACCAAATATCACCTCAAAGCACCTCAATACCCTCTTAATGTTCAAAATTTTCTCCATGCTACCTTCACAAAAAATGATAGTATCATCTGCAAATTGAAGATGTGAAATACCCAACTGATCAAAGCCAACTGAAGCACCTTTAATCAGGCTCTTCTCTATTGCCCTTTCCAACAAGAGATTAAGACCTTCAGCTGCAACAATGAACAAAAATGGAGATAAATGATCACCTTGCCTTAACCCTTTCTGTGGTTGAAACTCCTCAATGGGTGCACCATTGACTAATATAGACACCATAGTTGTTACCCAACTGATCAAAGCCAACTGAAGCACCCTTAATTAGGCCCTTCTCTATTGCCCTTTCCAACAAGAGATTAAGACCTTCAACTGCAACAATGAACAAAAATGGAGATAAATGATCACCTTGCCTTAACCCTTTCTGTGGTTGAAACTCCTCAATGGGTGCACCATTGACTAATATAGACACCATAGTTGTTATAATGCAAGTCTTCATCCACCTAATCCACTTTGCACCAAAACCAAATTTACCCAACATTGGTAGCAAAAATTCCCAATTTAATGAGTCATAGGCCTTTTCAAAATCCAATTTCAGAATGATGCCTTTATTCTTGGCTTTGTGCCACCCATCTACCACTTCATTTGCTATCAACACACCATCTAGGATATGCCTACCACTGACAAATGCTGACTACACATCACGAATCACAGCTCGAAGCACCAGCTTCATTCTTTTGGACAACACCTCGGCCAAGATCTTAAAAATGGAGCTGACCAAACTAATTGGCCTATAGTCTCCCAATCCTGAAGGATTATCCTTCTTCAGAATAAGCGCAATGAAGGAACTATTAACCCCACTTGATAGTTTAGCATTTGTGTGAAATTCATGAATCATTTGAATTATCTCACTTTTCATAACAGGCCAACACTTTTGGATGCATGCAAGATTAAAGCCATCTGGTCCGGGGACCTTGTTCCCATCGCAAGCTTTAAGAGCTGCACAAATCTCATCTTCAGAGAACACTGCTTCAAAATTGGCTGCTGCCTCTGAGCTAATAACATCAAAAGGACCTGAAATATTTGGCTTCATAGTCAAATTCTCCGAGAATTGCTGCCTAAAATGCCTAACAGAGCTTGTTTAATCTGAGTATGGTCCTCAAAGCACACCCCCTCCACCTAGACTGAATCTAACATGTTCTTTATCGGTCTCCTGCTAGCCATAATGTGGAAAAACCTAGTGCTTTTATCGCCATTTCAAGCCCAAAGCATTCTGGACTTTTGATGCCACAACCTCTCTTTATCTCAGCTTAATTTCCACACCAGACTTCTAACTTCCCTTCTTCTTCTAATATCCTCATCAGCCAGAGACCTAGATTCTGCCTTTTGATCCCAATCATGCAACTACTCTTCAGCTGACTTTAAAAAAGAATCAATATTACCGAACACCTCCTTGTTCCACACCCTTAAATGAGATCTTAGTTGTTTCAATTTCCTCATAAGTCTATACCCTGCCCATCTTGACACATGAATGTTCTCCCAGAGCTGTTTAACTCCAGGCATAAAGATAGGGTGTGAAAGCCAATGATTTAAGAACTTGAAGGGTTTGGGGCCCAATTCCTTTCATCCTCCTTTAACAGAATTGGGTAGTGATATGATATGGTTCTAGGTAAACCCCATTGCTTGAAAGAGAACTGTTCTAGCCACCTAGAATCCAACAGGAATCAATCTATCATACTCCATCTTTTCCCATCCAATGCATTACACCAGGTAAACTGTCTACCTAGCATAGGCGGATTTGTCAAATCCAATTTGTCAATAAGCTCATTAAAGTCCTTCATCACCCTCTCTCTTCTTGAACACCCTTTCCTCTCACTCATAAATCTAATTTCATTGAAATCTCCCCCCAACACACCAAGGACTTGGATAATGAGGGTATACATTTACCAAAACCTCACATAGCTGTCTCCTACATACAATCTCATTTAGGGCATAAATATTGACAATAACACACTCAAAAGAATAGCAAGATGTACCTGATAGGAGAATAAAATTCTTACTACAACACCATTCTCTAAGCTTAAAGACATCTGGCCTCAAATGCACAAAAGTCCACTTACACTACCATCTAAGTCCACCCCTAGAAAATCTATCTCTTCATAAGGCCAAATGGTTTTCACAAAACAATCATCCATAGTACTTCTTTTTGTTTCTTGTAATAATAATAGATCCACATTCCTATCCTTCACCAGGTACTTAATTTTCTCCCCTTTTTTTTGGCCTTCTCAACCCTCTAACATTCCAAGATAAAATTTGCTTGACTAAACTAATGTTTCACCCCCATTTCCCTTGTTGGCAACCAATTAGTTTCTGTTTGCCCCTACTACACCTGCAAGTCTTGCCAAGTCATTCTCCTCTAATTCCACTATCTTACTCACAACCTCTTCCTCTTGACCTTGGTACTGCAGCCCCAGAACTGTGTCCTACCTTCAGTGTTGTCTGCGTCTCTTCAATTAGATTTCTTCTTCTAATCCTCGAGTGACTTTGAGAGGATGACAAGGAGGAAGCTACTGCTGCTGCTGTGACTCTGAAAATGACTCCTCTTTGGAAGCCAAGGTTGCCGACCACACCCCTTTAATGCAATGGTAATACTGCATCATCACTTACATGTAAACATAGTTAACCTTACTATTTAGATGTGAAATTATTGAATTGTTAATTATAATTGACAAGCAAAATTCACCCTCTATATGTTGTTTTACTATTGGTTAATAATACAATATGTCAATAATGATGTAATATCACTGTTTAATTGATTTTTCTCAAATTTTATATAAAATTTGTATTTGAAAATTAGTTTTAATTTATTTTCAGTTTAAACCATCTTACAAAAGAATTTGGGGTCACTACTATGACTCCCGTTGTTATCTTGTATGTTGTGCTTTAAATAGTGTAAATATATCAAACTCAATATTATATTTTTTATTTTCAATTGAAATAATGTAATCTTTTTTATTATTATTTTGAAATCAATCTTCTAACCACAATAAAAAAAGTAAATTGTTAAAAAATTCGAGGGTAAATTATACAAATAGTCCCTATAGCTTACACGATGCGTTAATTTGGTCTCTGTTGTTTTAATTTGTTCAATATTGCCCCTTAATTTAACGATCTGTGTCATTTTAGTCTAATAAATAATGGTTATTAAGTTTGTAGACGGAAAATCAAACTATGTGTTAATTTGGTCCCTGTAGTTTACACAATGTGTCAATTTAACACATTGTGTAGACTTTCCGTCTCCCAAACTTAATAATTGTTATTTATTAGACTAAAACGACAAAATTTGTTAAATTTAGGGGCAAAATCGAGCAAATTAAAACAATAGGGACCAAATTGACACATCATATAAACTACGTGGACCATTTACATAATTTACCCAAAATTCAAATTTAAGACATTAGTTTCAGTGGATACTTTTTGTTAGTGAGAAGTCCACAATTTATAAAATAATTTGGTGAGAAATTCTTTTGTTTCTTTTAAAGAACATTTTGTTTTCAATTTTACTCCATAATTTATCTATTAACTTTTTTTAATCTGTTGACTTTCGTTGACTATCTGTTTAAATTTTTTCTATCGGTTAAATTTTTTTTCCTATCTGTTCGAAATTTTCCCTATTTGTTTAATTTTTTCCCCTATGAGTTCAATTCCCAATTTGTTCAAATTTTTTACCCTATCTATTCATTTTTTTTACTATATCAATTCAAATTTCCCTTATGTGTTCAAATATTTGTCCAAATAAAATCTATCTATTGAACTTTATCTATTAAAAATTATACCTGTTCAAATTAACTATTGAAATTCTATGATCTTTTTTCTATTTGTTGAAAATGAATAGATAGAGGATTTCGAAAGAAGAAATCAACCCCTATCTGTTCTCCACTCTCTTCCAAACCAAACAAAAAGAGAATCTCCAATGGGATTTTATCATCATCATTATCAACAACAACAACAGCAACATCAACAATAACAAAAACACAACCTATCTATTCAAAGCACTTTAACAGACAACTACACACACATGCACAATTAACAACAATAACCAAAAAAAAAAGTGACGAATTTGAAGGTTAAACTCACACATACACAATGAACAAATAAAACATTAACAAAAAAAAAAAAAACAGATATGTTGAACAAATAAAACCCTAACAATAATACCCTAACAAAAAAATTATCTCTCTTTTTTTTCTTTTTTCTATCTGTCAATTTAGATCTAAGAAAAACCTCACCCAAAAAAAAAATTCAGATATGAGAATTCCAATCTGAGAAAGCCCTAACAAAAATTTTGCCCTTTAATTTAACGATCTGTGTCATTTTAGTCTAATAAATAATGGTTATTAAGTTTGTAGATGGAAAATCAAATTATGTGTCAATTTGGTCCCTGTAGTTTACACAATGTGTCAATTTAACACATTGTGTAGACTTTCCGTCTCCCAAACTTAACAATTGTTATTTATTGGACTAAAACAAAAAAAATTTGTTAAATTTAGGGGCAAAATCAAGCAAATTAAAACAATAGGGACCAAATTGACACATCGTATAAACTACATGGACCATTTACATAATTTACCCAAAATTCAAATTTAAGACATTAGGTTTAGTGGATACTTTTTGTTAGTGAGAACTCCACAATTTATAAAATAATTTGGTGAGAAATTCTTTTGTTTGTTTTAAAGAACATTTTGTTTTCAATTTTACTCCATAATTTATCTATTGACTTTTTTTAATCTGTTGACTTTCGTTGACTATCTGTTTAAATTTTTTCTATCGGTTAAATTTTTTTTTCCTATCTGTTCGAAATTTTCCCTATTTATTTAATTTTTTCCCCTATGAGTTCAATTCCCAATTTGTTCAAATTTTTTACCCTATCTATTCATTTTTTTTACTATATCAATTCAAATTTTCCTTATGTGTTCAAATATTTGTCCAAATAAAATCTATCTATTGAACTTTATCTATTAAAAATTATACCTGTTCAAATTAACTATTGAAATTCTATGATCTTTTTTCTATTTGTTGAAAATGAATAGATAGAGGATTTCGAAAGAAGAAATCAACCCCTATCTGTTCTCCACTCTCTTCCAAACCAAACAAAAAGAGAATCTCCAATGGGATTTTATCATCATCATTATCAACAACAACAACAACAACATCAACAATAAAAAAAACACAACCTATCTGTTCAAAGCACTTTAACAGACAACTACACACACATGCACAATTAACAACAATAACCAAAAAAAAAAGTGACGAATTTGAAGGTTAAACTCACACATACACAATGAACAAATAAAACATTAACAAAAAAAAAAAAAAACAGATATGTTGAACAAATAAAACCCTAACAATAATACCCTAACAAAAAAATTATCTCTCTTTTTTTTCTTTTTTCTATCTGTCAATTTAGATCTAAGAAAAACCTCACCCAAAAAAAAATTCAGATATGAGAATTCAAATCTGAGAAAGCCCTAACAAAAACCAGAAAGAGAGAGAAAGGTTTGGGGAAATTAAGGGTTGAGAAGAGATGAGAGAGAAGATGAGAGAGAGAGAGAGAGAGAAAGAGACTTTGTGATGGTCTTCTGGCATTGTTGACAGCGCCAACAACAACATATTTGAGCCAAGAAAAAAAAATTAAAAACTTCATGCCCAAAAGCAATTCAGCAACAATATCTATTTCTCAAAATCATATTCATATATATATATATATAAGAAATATATATATATATATAAATTGATCAAGATTTTTCAAAAAAAAAATCATAGATTTGTTAAAAAAAAATACCACAGATCTGGTAAAAAAAACAACACAACAGCCGCGATGTTCAAAGGCGTTGACGTTGCGGCGGTGGTGCTGTGGCAGAAGGAGGTGTTGTGGAACGGAGGACAATGATTGATGAGTCACATCACTAGATTGGTGTTATGAACTCGATAGTATGTTTTTTGCCACCACTTCAGTTGGATTCTACAATGGTATGCAACAACAGTGTTAGCGGGATCGCCGTTGCGGACTGTACACACCTCATTTTTTGCCGA